AAGGCGTTACAACCGCTAACCAGGATCACGTCCCGGACGCAGTTGTTGTCCGGGGTGTTGTACGATCCAAACGCGATCAAGGAGCCGAACGCTAGCCCGAAACTGTAAAAAACCTGCGTCGCTGCGTCGAGCCAGACCGTCGGCTCTAATAGTTTCTCGATCTAACAATTAAAAAAAAAAACAATAAATATCGATAGAAAACAATTGCTTAATTCGATAGAAAGATTAATTTACCTTTGGCGTGTACATGTGGGCCAATCCAGCGCTGGCACCTTTTAACGTTATTCCACGAATAAAAAAGATAGTAAGCACCAAATACGGGAACATGGATGTAAAATATACCACCTTTAAATCAAGCAAAAACATAAGTCGTCGACACAGTATATTTGACTGACGCGGATTTCACGCGGAGGATAGTAGAGGAAGAAAGAGAGACAGAGAGAGAGAGAGATGAAAAAAGGGAGGAGAAATAGTCAATTCTCAACGGGAATCGCGAAACGACGGTAAGTGCAACACCCCAGTCCCGCTTGGAACAGAAAAACCAATTAAAACACTTGGGTGTCTCTTTACCTTTCCCGATGATTGTATTCCCTTCATCACGATAAAGAAGACGACGATCCAGCTTAACAGCAGACAAAGGACGATCCACCACTTGAGACTCTGGCCTTCTTCAAACGACGGTGCAGCGTCCAATGTAGTTCTGTACCAAAAGTAGGCAGTTTCCGAACTCTTCACACATTCCTCGACCGGCTTCCCGTCAACCTTCGGACATGTCGCCCATGGTAACGGTTCCTGCGTTAGATCGTTGAAAAGAAATTGTTTTGTAAAAATTTTTTTTTTTTTTTCAAAACACCAATCTACTTGACGATTATGTCACACGTCAAATTAGGAGAACGTGCTTTTATAGAAGCGTCTAACGTTTACACTCTAACGTCCATTTACAGACTACATCATGCTTGACGCGTGCCAATTCTATCCCAGTTTCTCTCCTGCCAGCCAGCCACCAGCAGTCAGCTTGCAAACGAAAAATTTGTGATCGATAAAGGTAGTACTTACGCCGAACTTAATCGTGACAGCCTAAACGAGCATAGCATGAAACATAATAATAAATTGTATATGTTAGTTAGGAGAACGATGTACGAGATCGTTGATACGTTCACTGCCACCGGAATATCGATAACACGCTAGGTATATACACTTGGGAACGCATACGGTGCGTCGGTGGCAGCGACAGTGTCGAGAGAGTAAAAAAATACGACCATTTTTGATCGACGAAGTTAACAGTGGTAAAGAGATCGATCGATCCAAAAAACGAGAAAATCAAGGGGGGGGGGGGGGGAGAAAAGAAAGTGAAATTGGAGTAGAACTCACCTCGAGCGAATTGAAAAGATAGTAGAAGCACCAGGTAATGATGACGTTGTAATAAAGCGCTACGAAGAAGGTGACGATGCACGATGCTATTCCTATGCCGCCTAGCCACGGGTGTATCGTGTTCCATACGCCAAGGGCACCCTGTCGCATTCGTTGACCGAGACCCAGCTCGATTAAAAAGAGGGGTACACCCTCTAGGATTAGCATCACGAAAAAGGGGATGAGAAAGGCACCTGAAAAACGTTCCACCACGTGGGTAACATGTTTTTCACTTCTCTTCCCTTTCTTTCTTTCTTTCTTTCTTTCTTTATTTTCAGGTTTGTCTAAAGCGAGATTTGTATTCTCTTTCTATTCTCTTTCATCCGGTAAAATAATATATCGTTCGTTAGCCCCTACACGCCCTCTACCCTTTCTAGCGATTCTCTTGTTCATCTGACCCCTTATTATGGAATGAATGCATAACCGTTTTCTCTCTTTCTCTCTCTCTTTTAATCTCTCCCATTTGACAGGGTTCTTTTTCCCTCCGCTTCCCTACCCTTCTACGTTCTCTGTGCGTGTCCCTTTTTTGCTTAGAGGATATTCTCTGTTCACCTACCCTCACCCCCTGACCGTTTCTTTTTTTCGCGGTAGTCTAGTTTAAGCAGCCGCAGCCGGAATGTCTGGTTCGGTATTGATCGAGTGACGCGTACGTACATATGCATGCATACGTACAGGTACACGTTCGATGTTTGTCAGAACATTCTTTCCTTCCGCTTTCTTTTATCATGTGCGCACTCCTGCTGGAGGGAAAAGGTATTTCGAATGTCATTACGCGACGAATTATTGATCAATCCTGTCACGTGCGACAAGATACTGCCGCGATTACACGCATCCACGGCGTAAAAGGCCGCTTTGTTTGATCACGAGACACGCTAGCCTCTCTGAACTACTTACACAGGCGAATTGTCTGAGCAGAAAATTCCTGTTTCTACTCATCTTGTCGGTCTAAACAGCCAATCGTTTATTTTTCCTCTTTTTTTTTTTGTTGTTGCTTGTTATTCTAACCCTTCGAAAGTTTACGCAATTAACCCTCCGTAGGTAAACAGTTTTTCACACTCGGTAGGTAAATTGGGTCGTTTATGTTGGAGTCTAATTTTTTTACTGTTACGAACTTCAGAAAAATGTAGGAAAATTCTGAGATATCTATTGAAGTCTCTACTATGTTGTAGCAATTGTTCAGTTAAGTTAAACGTTTAAAAAATTTCTTCTAATAAAAATACAAATTCTTTTGGTATAAATGCACGAGTGAAATTTCGCTTGAGTCGTCGACGACTCAGATTGCGTACCGAGGGTTAGGTTAGGTTAGGTTAGGTTAACCCTGTTATTCTTGTTATACCTATGTAATGCATTTTGAACGGTTTTCTACCTTTAATATAATCGCATTTTATTTATGAACAAACGTTTTATCCACCATGTTCCAAAGCTTAATACTCGAAACTCGATTAAACGTAAAATCTCACGTAACAACGTCGAGACAATCTTATTTCCCAATGTCAGATGTTTTTTTCGTAGATAACAAGGGAATTAAAAGGTTAAAAAGATACTTTCTACATACACATCGACAAATTACCAATTATTTCACAAAATTACCTCTCAGAATACTTTTCGACCACCCTCGTTCGACGTATTTCGAGGATCGAAAAAAGAAACTTAACTCAAAAAGAGGAAAAATTGCAACGTTACACCGGAGAAACCTGTAAGACGAAAATCAGAGAGGGTCAGCCGATTAATGAAGGCAAAATTGTTCGTGTGCCTGGCGATAGAGTGGTAAAAATCGATTGACGTTCGCGTCGGACGTTGGCGTCGTGTCGAACAGGCGGCCTCGACATCGGTGTCGTGTCGCGCGACGCGAGGAAATTTCCATTAAAACTAGAGAAGATCCTGATGGCTTGATTTCGGTTGCAACCGACATATGTTCTCAGAGAAACGGATCGTTAACACAACGAAACGAACATCTTACATATAGAAAGAAGCTGAGAAGTTTCTCTTGCGTTCTGCGCAGTACTAGAACCTCCTTCCTTCCCATCCCATCGTCTTCTCGTTCCTTTTCGACGTCGTCGTCGTCGTCGCGGTTACAGCTACATGGAAACTTCCACGACGAAATTCGCGTAGGCGTTCATGTTTTAACATTCGCGTAAACCATGATTCATGACGTAACATCGGACAGTTTGTGATTTCATTCGCAGGTTCACCCACCCGCCCTCTCGCGTCGCGTATTACACCCACATTCAACTGTCTGCTATTTCACGGATACGTAGGGTATTTCCGTTTCGTTCGCATCGGAATGTAATCGAGTTACCAGTCGGAGGTATAGGTCATGGATAGAAAGATGGAAGGGCGTTAGTAGAGAAGGTTCAAGGCCGAATTTTATAAGATTTGATCGTTTCCTCCGGGTTTCTCCTCGCATGACTCTCTCTCTCGTGGATTACATTTTTCTTTTTCTTTTTTCTCGCCTTGTCGCGGGGAATAGGATACCAGTATTCGACGGGTAGAGGTGTATATTACAATTTTGGCGCCGTCCTCCTTCGTGGTATTCCGCGGACACGCCGGGAAACACTTGGATATACGTTTTTAAGCGGTTACGACGGGGAGCCTGTGGTAGAACAGCGTAACCGAAAATAGCGTATAACAGCGCGACGTTTTACGTAGCCATTGGTTCATGCAAACGGTCTCTCAGATCAACTTCTATTTTAGAAAGAACGTATTCAAGGAGAGGAGAGAACGATTTTAAAGTTCAAGTTTGACACGGTTTCTTTTCCACTATTTTAGAATAGTAATAGAATTCTCGGAATTATCAGACTTTTTCGCGAGTACGCCAGCCTTCAGTTCAAGGCTCCATCTTGTGAATTTTGTTTTTAATTTAGCAAGGTATTTGCAATCCGGTCAGAATGAACATTAAGTAAATTACACGGCGACGATTTCTTTCTTTTAATTAACTAAATAATTGTTTAATTATGCAAATTTAATTATCATCGCTAGTTCGAGCTACATTGAATCTTTCTTGGAATGTTTCACAACTTGTCATTCGATGCAACGGCGACGATACGAATTGCGTCGCAATACTTTTTCTCAATTAACCAAGAAATTGTTCAATAATGCACTTAAAATGGTACTTAAAATCTTCCGGATAAATGCTCGGTCGTGAAACGTTTTATAGCCAACTTATGACATTTGATGCAATAGCGATGATTCGAATTGCATCGCAATACTGTTTTTTTTTTTTTTTCAATTAACTAAGCAATTGTTGAATAATGCAGATTTCCTGTGAGCTACTTAAAATTTTCAGGATAAACAACGCCTGGTCGTGAAACGTTTTATACCCAACTTACGACGATCGACGCAATCTTATTCCAAGACAAATAAAACACAGTTTCTTTACTCTGACGCGATTGTTAGCGTCACTTCCGGTAAATTATCATTTCGAAATTGACTTACCTCCACCGTTCTGTTGGCACAGGTAAGGGAACCTCCAGATATTCCCAAGTCCCACGCTGTAGCCAATAATACTGAGGAAAAATTGCATTTTGCCGCTCCATTCTGCTCTGTTCTCCTCTTTAGTCTCTTGACTGCCAGCAGCAACATTTTGAGTTCCGGACACAACGATTGTCACGTTCTGGCCAGCCTGACGTTCCTCGTTCAACGGAGCCAGCTCATGCCCATTCCTGGTGTTCTCGTTCTTGACTACCATTCTTCAATTTGCGACCTTCTGTTTTCTTTATCAACCGACAAAAACAATTCGACCGATCCGCCGCGGGGCTACAGAACTCCTCTATACCAACACCAACGTGTCACACGTTTCACCGTGTTCTTCCGCTTCTCTTGCGATATTGCGCATTAACCAGCGAAAACGTTACAAATCTTTCTTCCCTTCGAACTTCCTCTCTTTTTCCTTCTCCCTGTCTTTTCTTTTTCTAAGTCGTATTTAAATAATCAGCAACTCGACGGATCTCGCGACAACGGTTTGTATAAAAAAAGAAACACGTAACCGACTTTTTTCTTCTCTCTCTCTTCGAAGGATCAGCGACAACAGAGAGAGAGAGAGAGATAGAGAGAGAGGGGGGGGGGGCAACAGCGACGAACAGGCTGTAATTATCGCGAAGAGCAACAACAGTAACAATAACAACAACGACGACGAACGTGGTAACGTTGGTCGACAACGAAGACGAGGACGAGAACGGCGAACGGCAGTTCAACAAAAGGCCCAACAACGATCTCTTCGATCGTTACCTTTTCTTAACTATAAGAATATTCTCTCTCGCTTCTTCCCTTTCTTTCTTCTTCTTCTTAACACCGTGTGTCGGTTATCCACGAGTTAATTATTCGGTGTAGAAAAAGAATTGCTTAGGTTAACGCGGAAGGCATGCCTGGTTAACGAAGAACGCGGCCGTTCGTCTTTCGAACAGCTCCCACGCGGACGCGTTTCTGCGTACGACACAGCGAAGGGAGAGACACACACGCGGAACGAGATTGTCCCTTTTTCTCCTCCCTTCGTTCACTTTCCACCCTGTTAACAATTATTCTTCAGCATTGATCGATCGAACAACAATGATGTCGATCAATGTGTCACACGTATTCTCTCTCTCTCTCCGTGTGTGTTTAAAATGTAACGATGTCATTCGTCGAACGTGAACACACCTGGTTTGTCTGTGTGTGTGTGTGTGTGTGAGAAGTATTATACACGAGTAAAGGAAGAGTATCTATACATAGATGTACATGTGTGTGTAACACGGACGAGATTTGAAGAGATCAACGAAAAATACGAGTTGGAATTACGGCGAATCACTCGAGCTGGCAAGGCTGAGAGAATCAACGATTGAAATATCTCTGGTTCGCGAACGCGGCGAGTAGTATAATCGATACGGCGTGGGTAGGTAGAATCGCACAGCGAGGGAGAGAAATTCGTCGTACCTACCACCGGACGCGAAAAATTTTTCGCGATATTTTCTTCCCTTGAGGGAAAGATCCTCTCCTCTCCTCTCTCTCTCTCTCGTTCTTTTCGACAACTCGGTGCGGTTTTATTTCAGATGAACGGCGGAGAATCGACGACGGTAACACGGACAGAGGATAACAATCTAACGGCAATAAGAAGGTAGAGAGGCGTAACAATGGGAAGGTTGTTGCAACGACGAGTGGTTGCCTGTCGAAAGAGGGCTTCGCGAGCCTGAACAAGAAACATTTAGCTCGCGGTTCCGTGTTGATAACGAAACGTGGAAAATAACTCGACAAGGGATGTTTTCCTCTCCCTCTTTCTTCCGTTTTTTTTTATTATTAATATTATTATT